CAATAAAACAGGCAGAAAATTAAATGAAGTATCACTTTGTGAAAGTGCAGGCACGAGCTGCTCCTGGCCTAGGCAGGCTCCCTGGTCAAACCCACCTTCTGGTGAACAGTCTCACCCCAGCAACACCCATTCTTCCTCCTTCTTGTCCTCTAGATCAAAGCCTCAGCTTGAGCTTCCAGATGCAGGAGAACTCGGGCTACAGAGGGACACCTCCCTTTGTTGCCCCCTTCCCCCTCTGGCCCCATCCAGCCAAGAACAAATGGGGGAGAATCAACATCTTCCTACCAAAGACAGGATTCTCCTTCTAAACGTGAGCAAAGGTGAACAGGCTTCACTGGCTGTCTCCTTTAGAGTGATGTGCTGTTCAAATAAATGCAGATCAGATGGCCTGTCAAGAACAAACAGTGATGTAGACCCCTGCATCAGTCAGGAGACGGATTTTAATTCAACACAGAGAAAGGCACCCCTGAAGTCATCAATACTTCAACATCTGTGCCAGTTAAGCATGGATTTTTCTTACCTGCTTGACTGTTTCTATTGGTGGGATCAATTTCTCCAGTTGAGATCCTCCCTTACTGAAAGTTAGTTCTCCGTAAGAGGGACCTCTGGAAGTCCCTGGTTGGCAGCTAGACCTTCTGCCACCTGCAGCTACTTTGAGATGAGTCTTCTGCTGCAAAAAGTCTAGCATTTTTCTACAAAGTCAGTCAGACCTACCGCTCACTCCAAGGTCAGTGCAAGTGTGCAGTAGGCACATTGATCCTTGATGATCCAGGAAGGATGGCTGAGCCTTGCAGGGCTGCAGGTCGCAGCGTGCTGTCCTGGAGCGCTGCAGGCTCTTGGCCAATTATGCCCTCAGCCCCTTCCAACAACTGTCCCAGCAGAGGTGTCTGAGGAAGGAGGGTTAAATCTGCACCTCCACAAACTGCACTGCCTAGCGAGAGGCTTGTGTGTAAGCCTACAGCACAAGGAAAGCAGGAGGAGGCGAAGTGGTGTTCCTTCTTTGGTTGCCTTAACCCAGGGATAGATTCCTTCATCTTCAGGAGCTCTGGCGACATCTGCGCAATTTTAACAGCCCCGGCTGAGAGGGGCAGACATGGTGAGATTTGTAGTTCAGTTCTGCCGCTCTGTAGTGGAGGTGCTGTCTGACTGTCACTTTGGCTTTTCTGAGCTACAGAAGAGTTGACTGTCTCTTGCCGACGCTTCCTCCAACTCAGCTCCCCCAGCTATGCCTGACTGCTCGAACAGAGCAGGTTTCCTCTGTCAGTACTTTTTTTAGTCAGGTGACTATTAGTCACCTGATACAATAATTGTGGCCCTTCCAGGCACGTTCTCCATAGAGGCACCACAAGAGATCTCTTGTCCTTCGCTCTGAAGGAGTCTTTACTGTTGGCAAACCTGAGAGAGGTTAGACTGGGGCATCCTGAGCTTAGTTTGCTCCGTTACCACCCTGAGCAGCAGCAGCTCCTGGCTTCCTTGGGCTGCATGTGTTCATCCTCCTCCTTCCCAAACCAGGATGCCAGTCTGTGTTTCACCTTTCCAATCCTCACACCGCGCTCCCAGCTAGGACATCAACTCTTGCCCGCGTATTTCTCTCCCATGGCCCTGCTCCCTTTCATCAGCCACACCAAACCTTGCCAGCTCCTTCCCATCAGCATCTAAAACGCCAAGACGGGAGCACAGGTTTGGGAGTGGCAGGGCTACAGCAGCCACTGAAGAGGGAGGTTGCCGCTTCCTCAAGGCAGCACGTTGATGGCAGTGGCGCCCGTAACGGCTCTTACCCCACAGCGTGAGTGAAGAGCAGAGCTGGGAGATGCCATTGCTGCAGACAGCATTAGGTGGTGCGGGGATGCGCGTGGCACAGTTCGGGAGCCCTTTGCCTTACACCACTGCCGGTAGCAGTTGGGAGGGTTCACAGGCACGGCCTGGATGGACGTTACTGTCTTCAGAGAACTTGATCCTGTTCATGTGAGTACATGCTCACCTGGGATCTGTGTGGACAGCACTTCTTAAAGAATCACAGTTTCCATAGGGTAAGTAACAGCTTTTCATTTTGCTTCCTTAAAGAAATACTGAAAACCCAGGATGACTCTGTAATACTACTAAATCCCTAATCAGTTCAACCATTATTATGACTCTAACGTTTCTAGGACCCTTCCTCTCGTTTAAAACTGATTAATTTCAGGAATTGAAGCTAGATTCACTGTTCTGTATACAAGGCGCAATGACAGATACTGCGTTCTCATTATTGCTCTCTTATTTTGAAAGAAAATAACCATGAAACTGGTGTTTTCCTTTACTGTGCTTGAACACTCTTAAGAAAAGTAAGAAATGCAAGTTAGGAGGAGGATTATTGGTTGTATTTGTGTTATGTCTTCATTATCCTTTTAGTTTAGATACCATATAATGTTTTAAAACATTTTAAAGTGCAGCTATTTTTTCAGATTTTTAAAGATGAACTGTGAATTTTTACAAAAAGTATGTTACTCTTTTTCAGTATTAAAAACAGGAATAAATGATTTAGCTTAGGGTTTGGGGGCTTTTTTTTTTTCTTTGACTCCTTAGATGGTAGATATTCAAATATTGTCTAACCTGGAATTATTTGGGTGTTTGGAGAGTTAGCAAAATTAGTGCCTCACGGATACTGGAAGATCTGATAAATTCTAAGAATGATAATGTGACAAATTATAGAAGTCGTATTTTGTTATTAGTTCCCAAGTGGGTTTTGGGCATGTGCATGTGACAATGCTTTATGCTGTGTGATGCTTCTCTATTTCATGTGGAGAATAATTTGAGCTTTGTTATTCATTAAAAATTGTTCCTAACTCATCTAGTTAAGAAAACTTAATAACACTATAAGCAGTTATGAGAAGAATGGTACATCTTTGTCCAGTATTCTGCCTCAGAGATTTTCTAGCACCAAAAGCTTCTGAGAAAGGTGGTCTAAAAATCAGCATTATCATAGACAACTTTTGTATTCTGTGCATAAGAAAAAGTCTGTTATCCAATAGCTGATTTATTGTCACAAAGCATAGGAATTTTTTTATTTCACTTAATCCTGTCAAATGTAGCAGATGTTTTCATTATTCATGCAAACTTATCCCCTTTTGTGTGTGTTTTGTGTGTATATTAAGCGCTCTGCTTAATAATGGTCTTGTAGAAGTTGAGATGCCTCTAATTGTGGGTATAGCATTGCCCTCATCTGGATCCACTGCATTGTGATTTTGCTATATTCATAAGGTAATGAATAAAAGTACCTGACTTTCCTCCTTCATTCTCTTCAGCATTTTAACTAGATCTGGTGTTTATCTTGCTTATTTACTTGTTCAGTTGCTTCAGTTGCCCCTGATACAATGGTCTTTCCATGCCTCTAATGGCCCGTCTCTGAGGGCATCTGCTTTTTGCTGGAGCAACTTTAGATGTGCAGTGAGAATTGAGCACCATAAGCATTTAAGAGAAAATGTTGAATACTGTTGAGAGGGCATTATAATATTTTAGACAGAATTTGGGGTTTTTTTCCAAACAGGAAATGGTCTGTAAATACCAATAGTGGAGGAACTAAGTCCACAAGGACTTAGTCCATTACATTTATGTGGCTGTCTTAAATATTGTCTACTTATTGTGAGCTACATTAGTAGAAACATCTGGATAACGAAGCTCTTCCTTTCTGCTGCGATAGTGGAAGATGTTGAATAGGCATCGCAGGGTAACTAATTTATAAGGATCTTGCTGGGAGAGGGAGTGAGGAGTCATCAGCATTTTCTCCCTGAAACAAGGTGATTTGGGGACCTCCAAAAGAGGAGGTGAGGGTTGTGCCACCTCTCTTGCTCGTTAGTTGAAAACAAAGCTTTCATTTTTTTCTTTGGGTACTGGAGCTGTTTCTACCTCCTGCCTGTATGTACAAAGCCCCAAATAAATGCTCCTCAGCTGTCAGAGAGCTTCAGTTGGTTGCTCTGAAGCACTTTAGCCTTTAATAGGTGTTTGAGGATGCCAGTTTGGTCACGTTCATGCTTACCGGCAGAGGAGGCTGGGGCTGTGCGAAGTTGAACTTTACTGAGCTTTACTGGAGTGAATGGGAAGGGAGACGGGAAAATGGTTTGTGCGGGGGGAAATGTTACATTACTCCGGGGCTCCTGCCAAATACCTTCAGCCTGCTATGCCACATGGGGTATGTGCACTGTATAGGGCTTTGCCCTTACATATCTGGAAGAGTTGGAGGGGATGAGCCTCCCCGTTACAATGAGGCGCTGAACATGTTTTCCACATATACCTGTCTCATCCAGGAGGCCTTCTAGCAGGAGAAGGAAGACATGCTGCAAGTTTACAAAAGGATGGTGGCAGGGAAAAGGGAGATACAAGGGAAATTCCAGAAAAGCCCTCTGGATTTGCTCAGGCACACCTAGACTTGCCCTCTATTGGGATTTACCTGTAGCATGTACATCATTAAGAGGCTTTATTATTTTTTTAAAATTAATTTTATTTTCCTTTGCAGGTCACCTTTTAAGCTGCTATTTCCTGTATAATTAAGCAGAATGAAGGCATTAGGTTCTAGTAAAGTTGGGCCTAATCCAGAAATCTTCTCTTATTCAGTCCTTTCTGAGTAAGAAACTCAAGTCTGGGCCCAGCATTTTACGTGTTTCACTGTTATTTCTAAATTATTTGTGGTCTGTGGATTTTTTTTTTTGTTTTGTTTTTAACTTCATTGAAAACTCCTTTGCTTTTGTCTAATTTTATCTCTTTATGTGTTACTGTCCAGCGTAGCGTTAGTTGACATGATGTAAGTATACTGCAAATTGAAGTGCGTAATTGCTACTGATAATGCAAGAACGATTGATTCCTACAGTTTATAATTAACAGTACATAATGTTCTGTGCATGGGTTGGTTCTATCCCTTTTAACTTTTCCTTTCCGATTCTTTCCAACTCCCGGTCTTGCCGCATCCCAGCCTTTCTGAATATACTGGTTTCGCTGGAGTCTAGTCCATTCTTCCTTTTGTTTTTCAGACCAGTAAAAATGGGAAGTACTGGATTCTGGTTTCCTCCAAGAAGAGTCAGCGGAACTGGTTAAGACCAAAATCTGAGGACTTTAGTGGGCAAACATCAGGTGTGCATTGAACAGAGGCTGCTTTAATCCTGCTTTAAGTATATGCTTCTTTAAAAATAGTATTATATATAAGCTTTTGTGTAATGTGTTTGTTATATTTGATACTGCATATAATCATTCATCCTGCAGTTGTGAAAGCACCAATAAGAATGAGGATTTTAAGTGATAATATGTTGAGACACAGACAGGCAATATTACTCATAAAATTCTTTCAGCTGGTCTTTGGAAAGTGTAATATTTGAGGATCAGTGGTTTTTTAAGTTTTATCTCCATTGCTCAGTCTATATATCCACAAGAAAAAAAGAAAGTGGTTATTTGCTATTCAGAGATCAATACTGAAGTTCTTAATTGCCTCATCTGTTGAGAAATGGTACTGAGATAATAGTGCGTACATGTTTTTTTAATAAAACACTGTTATTGTCAAAGATTGGATCCACACTATATTTGTTCTAATGATGCATTTTTAAGGACACTTAAACACAGTTCAAAGTCAGCTTAATTAGTTTTGATCATAGAGGAACAAAACCTGAATTCTTCATCTGTGAGAACGTTCTGAGTTACATCTGGTACAGCAACTAGGTTACCTGAAGTTTTGGAGAAGATAACAGTAATGTTATATTGGCCTGAATATAGGATGGCCTCCAGCCTGAGATGTGATCCTTGCATTGACAACAGGAGTGAGAAGTTGCCAGAGTTGTTAATTTAACAGTTAAGCCTCGTATGCCGTTCCACAACAAATGCTGCTTTTGGCCTTACATCAGACCCTGCATATCACCCTTCTGCATGGCCTAAGATCCTGCATCTCCCCAGCTTGATGCATGTTCATTTCCTCCCCTCCTGCCCCCAGCTTACCAGCTCACCCCTATCCTCGTGTCCTTAGATCTTCCCAACCCCCACGCAGCGCTCTCTGCACCTCCCTGGCCCCACAGCCCCATTCTAGTTCCGTCTGTTGTCCCTCCCCACGGCAGCTCACCCTCCCTTCCCACATCCCACCGGCTGTGCCTGCTTCCCTTGTCACCGGCTGGGCATGGAGGCCACTTGCTGCTGAGCTCTGGACCCAGCACGGTCAAATTCACCACATTCCCCTGCAACAGACTCTGGAGGTAGTTTCTTTGCTCTTTGTTGCTAATGCTTCCTACCCCTCTCAGGCTAGGTGTGGATTTAGCAGGGAGGCAAAAGGGGCCGTAGCCCATTCTTACCCCTTGAGACCGTAGGTGCCTTAGCCACGCAGCGAGGGCCACAGCTGCTGCACTGTCAGCTCTGTGCAGCGGGTCTCATATAGGTGCCTGTGTGGTATAGATACACCCTGTGTAAGCAGAGTGGGTTGGATTTTTTTTTTCTCCCCCAGAACTTCATTTGTGAGGAGAGATTAGGCTAAAACAAGATTTCATTCTATATTCAGGCCAATATGCATAGAAGACCAGTGTGTTCATTTACAGGAAAACACAATTTTATTACCAGATTCTAGTTAAAGCATATATTGAAAAATCTCTCAGTCCACAAATTTATCACAACTTTGATGTGAATCGGACCCTCCTTTTGATTACATCGGTGGCTCCATTGAAGTTTTTGGAACTGGTCTTCATTTACTTTTATTGCAGAAACACTTTGGTCTCAAGTCTCCAAACTTTCATTTCTTCACTTATGAGCTAGAAAGCTGCCTATGAGACAGAAAATAAAATTAAGCTGATTCTTTGAAGACCTGTCCCTATTCCCACTCATGGTATTGATGTCTCCAGGCTTCGTCCCATGAGTGGGAATGAGTCAGAGACAAATCTGAAATGATAAGAGTCCTTAAAGAAACACCTTTGCTTGGGTATCTTTAACGAGGTTAGTGGTTCCATATAAAATTTGGGGGAGTAAAGGTGGTCTTACAAAGCTTCTTGCTTGAAAAGAAAGTAGCATAGTTTAACCTGCCATTCAAGGACTATAGGGTTGAAAGGCAGCAGATTTCCATCTTGGTGTGCCAGTGTTTCTCTCCTCTTGTAAAGACAAGGGAAAAGTTTTGGGGAGGAGGGAGGAAGAGGCATAGACAAAGACATGCTCCGTGTACGTGTTTCAAATGGAAATCTCAGTCTGAAGCTTTCATAAAATGCAGACATTGAAGAGGCGCATCCCCTTCTTTCCCTCCATGCCCCCCCACCCTCCTGTCCTGCTGTGCATTGAGAAAAACACAGGCTCTCCTTCCTCCCCGCTTTCTTCCAGGGCCACGCTGGGGCTCTTGCAAGGACCGTTTCATTTTGTCCCCATCGCACCTGGGCGCTGCTCTCTGCTCCCCTCTGGAGCGGTTGGCTCCCTCCATCTCTACTGAGCCTCAGCAGGGGAGAGAGGACAGCTGAGACAGGGGCCAGGCTGCCTCCAAACTATCCAGCCTCCCCTCGCTGCCAGCGGGGAAGAGTCCGTTTTGTTTATCAGGGAGGTGGCGTTAGGTTGGAGCAGCTGCGGCCTGGTGCGCCCTGCCCGCCTCCCAGCCGCCCGGCTCCACCTGTCCCAGCAGCTGCTGGCTTCCCCTGCCCCGCTGCCGGGGGCCGCGGGGGCGGC